TAATATTTAAAAATTATAAACTTTAATCTAATTCTTAATTTTGGCTGTTAAAATTTTTGTTTCTGTAGCTGAGCAGCTTAAGATCGCAACGCTTAAAACTCTCTTGCCTTTTATGACTCGGCTAACTCCCCCCCTCCCGCTACAATACACTTATGCCAACGAATTTTCAGTCATCATAGCACTTGGTCGTGATGGCCATCAGAGCCTTATTCAATTCAGCTTTCATGCCCTCAATTGAGTCAAAACAGTGTCCTCCTTGGTTTCGGCTCTATATTAGTTAAAAATGTGCCAAAATTATGACGAATAACCAATGCAGTATGAGATGGTGCATTATCGCACTTCTTTGTTCAATAAATTCAGACAAAGTAAATGTTATGTTTGTATTTAATTAATTATAATTCATCATAATTAATATGTATAAAAAAGAGTAACATACAATACCTAATGTAAAAGCACATCTGTACTCGACGGTAGCGCAATCCAGAAGAAGGAAGATGGGTTTTACAAACTGTCAAGATTGACAACTATGAACACTGAAATTCAGTATTGTACATTTTTAAGTTCATATCACATTCCCCCTCTTAGTAATAAAGTAATTAATTTATTTCTAAAATCTGGAGCAGTGAAAAGAGTAACCTGTTGTCGCGATCGTTGCTTTTCTCTAATTGCGATAGAGCACCGTTTTTTTCATTAAAACGATTTACTTGTGCGGATATTTTTGGTTCTATGTTTGACTCGACATAACTGTTGCTGAATGTGTGGATGTCGATTCAGGTACGGGTATCCATTGATCTGGCAGTATTATGCTAGGTATCTTGTTATTACCATCTGCATTTGATCTAGGTTTGAATTGGTTAATGTGACTTCTTATGGTACCTATGTTTGATTTTCCATAAACATCATTTTTCCCATCGGATGAATTATAATCCATTTTATACACTTTTCTCTTTTCAAGAAATTTCTAGCATATACTAGTTCATTAGGTTGACATTTGTGTGTGCTTACGATCTTAGATTTTGACTGTGTGGATGTCTCAAAAAGTTGAGTTAACATGATACGAAGGAGAAGTTCAGCAGGTGTTTGAATTGGAATTTAAAGTAAAACGATTAATAGCTAAATATTTGACTACGGAGTATCTGAGAGATAAAGCTTTGTTGATATTTTTTTTAACTGCGGTTTTAACAGTTTGGACAAAACGCTGTGAGAGTCCATTACACGCTAGATGAAACTATTGTAATGTAAAATTGTTGAAATGTGTCGATGTTAGTTGAGGTCCATTATAACTCACCAGAGTATTGGAAAAACCTTCAATGGCAAAAATTGTTTTTAACTATTGTAGTTGAAGGTAACTGTGTTATGAATGGAATTTGTGTATACGCGTCTAAGCATATAAGCCACATAGAATCGAATATGGGTCTAGCGAAGTCGATATGAATGCGTTCCCATGATGTTTTCGCTTCTGACCAACTAAGGTATTGACGTGTAATATCTTATATTCATAGGTGGTTTCAGTTGCTTAACTGCTTGAATGCCTGAATATTCTGGAAGAATTCGCTTAGCGCTTGCTCTTCTGCCTAAGTACTCAATTCATGCCTTCAAAAATAAACATTCTCCCTTTTGCTCTTTATACCGTTGTCTTCGAGAATTTTGATTACTTGCTCTACTCATTTTACATAATTACCACATCCTTCAATACCATTGATCCGTTGTTCAAGATAACGAGATTGTGGGTGCGCTGGCAATACCATAAGGAAGTCGTTGATACTGGAACAATCCTAAAGGTGTATTGACTACCATTACTTGTTTAGAATATTCATCTAACTACATTTGTAAATAAGCAACTTTTAAATCTAATTTCGAAAAATGTGTACCATATCGTATTGTATGTAATAGCGACTCCCGTGTTGACAATGGGTATTGCTCAAAATCTAATTGTGAATTAATTGTTATTTTAAAATCAACGCATATTGACGCCCAGTTACTGAACTTGCCTATCTGCTGAATAAGCCTATCTGCTTCCTCACGGAATTTTGACATTTGTGTAAACGGTATTTGCCGTACTGCCTGCTTTTATAAAATTTTGGTGTAACAGTGGCCTGCATTTGTATTGTCAAATATTCTTTCTTATTTATTGCATAAATCTTCAATTTGTTTGATATATTCACCTTTATCAACTATGTCATGAATCTTTCTTTCATTGTCTAAACTCAAGTATATTATAGAAAGCCATCATAATTCAATATTCGAAATTAAATAGTATAAATATCGTTAACAACGAAATAAGACATATTCTGCAAGGTGCGTTCCAAAGTAAGGAGGACTTTTTGAATCTAGTGCTCCCTGGTGGCGCCATCTATATGTCGACTGGTGCATCTGCTATCTTTACCTATTGTCCAGTGAGAATGACATTCATGACATTTGATAGATTGGGAGTGAAGTTATTGCGTCAACATTAAATTTTGTTTTAAAATTGATAAAACTTTTACCGAAACATTTCAACTGATGCAACAAGTTTATAGCGATGATTGCCTGTCCCGTAGCAGAGTGCACGAGTGGTTTCAACGTTTTCAAAGTGGTCGTGAGAATATAAATGACGATTAACATGGGGGTCAATCGAAATCCGTGATTAACGGAAATTCCATTGAAACTGTGCGTGAATTCATCAAAAATCAGCCGAACTCATCATTGAAATTCATCGAAAAGGAATTGATCACCTCCAAAACATCGATTTATCGCATTTTAACCGCATATTTTGGCTTACGAAAGGTGTGTGCACAGTTTGTTGCGCACAAATTGGTAAACTACCAATAATTGCTTAGAATCCAACATTCGAAAGAGGAATATTTGACCAAAACTCACATTTAAACCATTAACCACTCCCCTTATTCACATTCATGCGACTTCTTCTATTTTCGAGAAATGCATTTGCCAATGAAAGGAAAACGTTAAGGAGACGTAGAAGCCATTTGAAAGGCTATTACCGGCATACTGGCGGTCATACCGGCCAGCGAGCTGAAATACTCTTTCAACATGCTTTTGAACCGTGCAAAAATCTTTATTGAAGCAGAAGGAGAATATTTTGAATAAAATAAATGGATTTTGCCGAAAAAACCATTTGTCCTGTTTGCTTTGGACCACGCCTTGTATATACTGACTTCACACTTAAACTAAAAATATACCAGACAATATCGACTGCATCAATGCTAGGATTTTTTGCGGACACATATTGACAAATAACTAAGTTCGGAATAGATCTCAATAACCTGCAAAACACTAAATTGGGAGCTCTTATTGATAGCAATGGAAACATAACATTCTCCATTAAAATACTAAAGTAGTATATCTCTCTTCCGATATATTATCTGGTACCCATTGGAAACGAAAATAACAGGGAATTCTTATTTGAACCCCAAATTGCATTATATCCGTATTGCAATGATAATATATACAGGGTTTGTCCGGAAAGTAATAGGACTGATGTCCCGAGACAAAGAGGCAATCTTCTGAGCATTTTGAGACGACAGAAGGTATCCAAGCATCATGCACCTTGGCTCTCAAGGCTATTTCGGAGAATGCCATTAATTATACTCATAAAATGGGACGAAGGTCTAAGTAGCCAGTTGTCCTTTGTTTTTTCTAGTATGTATGTAAATATTCAAACAAAGTATCGCTAGCTTTAATCACATACAAATAACCGAAAATGAAAAACCAAAATTTAAGACATTGTTGTAAGTAACTTTAAAAATACTGCATTAATGGAAAGGTATAAAGAGCAAAAATAATAATTTCAAAATAACCAACATGATCACCCAGTAGAGTGCTCAATCATAGGGAGGAGAAGTTACGTCAACGTCGCACATATGTACATAGGAGAATTTTCCTTTAAAAACCGGACAAAAGTAAAAATTACAAACTACAGCGATGCTACTACAAATTGATCTTTTTTTAGTACTTAAGTAACCTACTACATACAATAAACCGATTAAATGATTGAGCTTCAGACCGCTGCAGATGTCACACAAGTAGTCGCACGTCCTTACTCTCGAATTTGTAACTGGTATTTTGTGTTGGGTGAAGTGAATTCTGGAAAATATTTGTTATGGACTCTGGACAACATGGTATGTATTTAATTTTAATAATATAAATATTATATTAATTTTGTTAAAGTATTTTTTTGTTTTTTTTTTCGGGAAAACAACAAAATATCAAAAAAAACTAAAAAATTTTAAAAATATTTTTTCACTTTTTTGAAATTAGTGTTTTTGTTATAGTGTCGGGGGTAATCGAGTTATAAATTAATTTTTTTACTAAACTACATTGTTTCTACTAATCATATAAACTTAAACTTTTTCACATCTTTCCCCCGCTTAAAAAAATCACGTTGAATTAGATTGGTCACATGCATAAAATGAGTACTGCTTTTATTTATTTACTTTAATTAAATACTGAAATCATGCTAAAGGTGAGAATTCTCTTAAAACCACTTTTTGACCACAAATAATCGAAGTCCAACCAAAATGTTAAAGCTTCTAGGTATCGAATATGTGTACCTATGGTTGACTTTTGACCGAAAATATCGTTCAATGTGTGAATCCTTTTTTGATAATAGTAGGGCTATTCAGAATCTGGTCTTGCATATTTGCTATTGCAAATGAGCGAGCATATTTTTGCTTTTACACTAACAAAATGTACAGCGATGCACCTGCTACACCCTTGCAAAGCAGCAACACTAAAACGCCATTGTATTATTTGCAACACTGGTTTGCAAATTATCAGCTGTTGTCAAAAATAAAAGCAAGCAAAGAAAAGAAAGAGCAAACAGGTTTAAACAGAAAAAGAATTAAACGTGAAAAACCAAACAAAAAGTGGAGCGAAAAAGGAATCCAGAGTATACTGGATTTCTTGCAGGAAGCTCCAGAAGTAGAGATAAGTGATTTAAGTGATTAATTTCAACAATTTATGTAACAATAATTTTAATAGCTCCAACAGCTCAAATTTTTTATAAAAAGCTCATTGAGAGCACAAAAATAGACGCAATGTGGGATTTAATACGGTGGAAGGTGCGGCACCTGAAGGCTTCATACAAAAAAGCAAGCGATTGGCGAATGTCAACAGGAGCAGGCCTTCTTGAGTCTGATGCCGGGATGTCGAGTGTTGAAGGTAAGCTTAATGAATGCGACAAAATTTTGTCTAATGTTTATATTTCAGGGAAAGTGTTGCAGATGTGCCCACACTTTAATCAGCTTAAATATATTTTTGGGAAAAAAGCCACAAGTGAATTACCTTTTGAAGTGGTTGATAGTGGCAGTACGTCCGTAATGAATGAAAGCGCGGCCAGCCAAATACTGGAAATAACTTTTTCTGATGTCGGCGAAAATTGCGTCTCCAATTAACATTGCCAATATTAAAAATCTACAACCAGGCAATGTAAGTGAAGTGATTGTTCCTGAAAAAGCAAAGGATTTCGCGGAAAAAATTAAAAAACATGTTCCAAAATCAGCTGCTGCAAATCTTGTTGCTTTTCAAGTCGAGCGTAGGCAAATATTCAAAATGAAAATGGAATGGGAAAAAGAGAAACATGAAAAAGATCACGCTTTGAATGAAAGAAGATTACAAGCAGAAATTGAAAGAGGTAAAGCTGAAGTAATATACAAGAACCGTGAATTGGACTTAAAAATCTTAGAACTGGAAAAGGAGAACGATTGAAAAAACTTCAAATTGAAAAGGAGGAACGCTTGCAAAAGTTCGAAATTCAAATGAAATATAAGTATTCCTCTCACCAGTAATTTTTCTGTACTTTATTTATCTCTGTACTTTATCATCTTTGTATTTTAAAATATGTTGTACCAATTACTGTTCAAATGAATACTTATTTAATACGGTTTTTGATGTTTTACTATCTTCTGTCATTCATGTTTGTCTTATACTAAATGTATAAATATATGTAATTATAATTGTTATATAAGTATGTAATTTAAAACTGAAAAATTAATTTAAATACATTTAAGAAAACATTAATGCGTATATGGCTTGTATTTTAGTTTCTCCAACATTGTTGGGTATATGCTCATCAGGCTCAATGGGATCTTCGGTAGTAGTTGATGGATCTGAACCACCGTCGAACGAAGTGGAACCATTATTAATTAAAATATTGTGGAGAATATAGCAGACAAGAAACCAATCGCAGCTAAATTTATGGTTTTTTTTGTTAGATAAACGCATCCTTAGCTGCTTAAGGCTTCCAAATCTTTCTTTTAAAAACCCAAAGCAATGCTCTACTCTAACCCGGTATTTACTGTGCCGTAAATTAAATACAATTCGGGCATTTCTATCCAACTGTCTTGCGTTGCTTCTGTAAGGGGTTATTAAGATAAAGGGTATGCCGAGTCCCCAGCAATCATTACTGTGAAGGAAAATACTGATCATTTTATTGAAAGAGTGAGCTATTTCGATATATACGGGCATCATGCCAGCTCCCAGGGTGACCAACCACAACATGTCGAACAACTCGTTTATAGTCACAAATTATTGGTGCTTTTATTGAAAATATGTGATTTCTGGAAAAATATGATGTATGGTCTTCAATTGGCGATTCTGCTAATTTAATCTCGGTTCCATCAATATATCCAATACAAAACGGTAACTCATCAAAGGTATCCGATATTATTTTCGATCCTTCAACCTCATCGGGCCAATATATATACATACTTAGATTGATGACGCAAGAACATTCTAACGATTCTCTTTGTTACGAGTATTACCGATATAATTTCGCCATCTCCCACTCCAAAAATTGTCATTATTTTTCTAAATGCTGCGCTTTCTCCCGACGAACCCAAACGAAACAGTGTGATTTCTAATTGCAATTCGACAGAAAATTGCTTACATCAGTGCGCTTTGTTGAATTCCTCATCGTTTTTTATTAAATCAACCAGTATATTACCTTGGTCTTTATCTACTCTTAACATTTGGCAGAATCGGTCTTCGTCCAGTGTTGTCAAAATATTATTGCGCCAAATGTCTGACTTAGGTATTATGCTATAATCTCCTCGCCGACATTCCATAATAACAGATATATTGTCAGCCAATTCATCTAAGACTGCATCCACTGCGTCACCATCACTTTCGATTTCTAGAAGAAAATTTTTATTAACTGAAATTCTGCATAACAATATTTCTTACCTTCAATGTCCATAATTTCTTCAGCAGCTTCATTAATTAAAGCGTCAGTTAATTTTTCTCTAAAACGTTTTTTTGGCATATTTTCCAATTTGTGCGACAATTTTGTTTACAAACAATGTTTTTCTTCACCGATCAGCTGTGAATTAGTGGTATTTGCAAGGGTTGCACAGAAATCACAAAAAAGACGTTCACTGTTGATGGTAAATATTTGCAATTGCATAATGTTGCAAACTCAGATGCACCAGACTCTGAATTGCCCCAGTATGTCTTTGTATCAAAAAGGAATTGAATCGAGCCAATACTTTGTGAATCTTTTCAGCTAAAATAGATACAATTGGGTGAAAACTTGACCCTCCCTCCATATAACTAGTTATTACCAAGATTTTTGAACATCCACTTGGCCTTGCTCCATATGATTAGTGATTTTATGTCATTCATAAAATGAATTTAAATAATTTTGTCCGGTTTTTGAGACCATATGTTCCTATGTGCTTCCTTGCAAGCCAAATTGCTGATGTCTTCACCAACAACCCCCAATATACATACATATTGACTGGTCTGCGTAAACGCAATCAAAACAAGTTTAAACCATGCCAAGTAACTACAAAATTTATGGAAACATCTTCTTCTCTACTAGAGAGAGTTATTGGTGAGATGGCCGTAATACAGCCAAAAACTCATAATATTACCATTATGTGCAAAGACCGGGGGGGATGAGATAACCACCCCCGAAGAAATCTGTAAGGCATTACAAAAGGAGTGTGGCATCCAAAACCTGGGGAAGCAAAACATAAAAAATCTACGAAAACTCGGTGTGGCACCTAAATGGCTCTTATATACCTACGAGCTGAGGATGCCAAAACTTTACTTAAGTGCGGTAAAGTAAAGATCGGGTGGTCTATCTGTCGTCTCCGGGAATTTTCACCTCTTACTCGTTGTTTTAGGTGCTTCCAAGTAGGACATATAGCATACAAATGTACTCGTTGCGGAACCCTAGGTCTCATGGCAAAGACAAGCACGAATTCCCCGAGTTGTATGCTCTGCAAAGGGGAGAACTCTGTTCTGAGTACGGCCTGTCCTAAATACGCAGATATGTTGAAGTCAACGAAAAAATGAAGATATTGCACTAAATCTCAATCACTGCGCTGCAGCATAAGACCTTCTAAAACAGACGGTGCTAGAAGAAAACAAAGATGTCGCCATATTTAGCGAACAATATTCTCAACGTTCGGAAAGAATTTGGTGTAAAGATATAAGTGGCAAAGCAGCAATATGGGCCTGCAAGCCACAAGCCTTCACATCTCGCTCCAAAGAAACCCATAATGGATTTACATGGGCGAATATACAAGGTATATTTTTTGTTAGCTGCTACGAATTTGAAGATTTCCTTATCCTTTCTAGAAATCAGAAGCAAATCGCGAATAATAATAGCGGGAGATTTTAACGCATGATCTACTGCTTGCCTCATTCTACTATTTCTGAGTCAAACAAACCTTATGATTTTAAACAGTGGCACACCTAATGTTTGCTAATAACGCACTTAGCAAGTATACTAAGTGGAAGGTGTCAGACATGTATACCAATAGCGATCATATGGCTATAATTGCTGAAGTTTCGTTCTCCCAGGAAAAGGAAAACTGTCCGAGAAATACCTCTCGAAAATGAAGTTGGCGGCAAAAGAAATTTGATACTGACGCTTTTGAAATCGTCTGGAGTACGGCAAATGTATCACTCGAAAACGCAGCCCACTTAGTATCCGCTATGCGGAAGGAACTAGTTGCAGCTTGCGATGCAACTATGCGCAGGACGAGATACTATAACAATCGAAGCCGGTATACTGGTGGAACGACAAAATTGCCAAGCTGAGGAAGCTCCGGCACCAACCAGGGACGTGATAACGAAATCAGCCTTAGAGAAGCATTTAAATGCCAAAAAAAAGCTCCTGATGTCAGCCATTATATGTAGTAAGAGATCCTGCTTCGAAAAGCTCTGCGAAGAAGCCAACCTAGACCCCTGGGGACGGCCAAAGCCAAAAAAGCCACCAGAGGATCCTTCATCTTATCGACCTTTTTGCATGCTCGACACAATTGGGAAACCGCTTAGAGTTAGCAATCCAAAAAGCCGGCCGATTATCAGAGAGACTATACGGCTTTATTAAAACGAGGTCCACTATTCACTATTGACGCACTAAGAGAAGTAATTGATACTGCGAAATATGCAATAAGTGGAAAAAGATGGAAAGGTGGTACAATAAAATACTGCGCGCTAATAACCCTGGATGTGAAGAATGCGTTCAACTCCACAAGTGGGCAAATATAATAAAAGCTCTAAACGATATACACGCTCCTTATTATTTGATAAATATTATAATGAGTTACTTTCAAAATAGGAGATTGCTATTCCAGACGGACGAGGTCACTCAGAGCTACACTATCTCCAGTGGAGTACTGCAAGGCTTGGTTTTAGACCCGCTGCTAGGGAACCTGATGTACGACGGGTGTTAAGAATACCGCAACCAAAAAATGTGAAAACAATTACATATGCGGATGACCTCACAGTGGTAGCTGTAAATAAACATCTGGATGACCTCCTTATCAAATGCAATGACAGCATAAAGTGTTTGCGCCAATGGTTTGCTACCATGAGTCTAGAGCTGCCTGAGCAGAAAACAGAAGTCCTGCTCATAAGCTCTAGGAAAATTTAAGAGAAAATATCTCTGACCATCAGAGAATGTGAGATTACTTCACAGCCGCAGTTGAAGTATATTGGGGTAATAGTGGACTCAAGACCCTAGTTCAAGAAACACTTGGAAATTGCGACTCGTAAAGCAAATAAAATATATAATGCGTTATTTGGAATGATGGCAAATAAAGGCTGTGTGCGTTCCAGCCGACGATGTTTAATAGCTAAGGTAATAAGTTCGGTTATTCTGTATGCGGCTTCAATATGGATACAGGCGCTACAAATAAAATCATATGCTAAACCAATTAACTCAATGTATAGGCTTTCAGCAATACGCGTGATAAGTGCAAAAAGAAAAGAGATGGCAAACTTCATACAAAGGACGGTGAACATACCAACTGATTTCGGACATACATTCGTGGATAGGTAGACAGCATGATGACCTGGATTTCCACCTTACCCAAATACTCAGTGGGCATGGTGGCTTCAGAAGCTACTCTGTGCCCAAAAAATAAGGTCACATAGTATTTATTTTGAAAATGCTTTATTTATTCTTCCACATCAATTTCATCCCCATCAAAGTAATCCCCACTAGATG